GTTCCAAAGTGTGTTTGTACAAAATGAAATCTTTAGGGAACCAGATACAATAAGAATTCCAGAGAACAACATAGAGCACATAGAGGTGACTAGAGACGAAGTGGAAAAAATGCTCAAGGAGCTCGGTATGAACAAAGCAACTGGCCCAGATGGCGTTTCACCATGGTGTTCTGAGAGAATGTGCATCTGAGTTCAGCATTCCACTTCACCTGATCTTTCAGGCATCCCTGTGTACAGGAATCATAGCAGACGTGTGGAAACAGGCTAACATAGTTCCAATTTACAAAAGTGGCAGCAGGGAAGACCCCCTCAATTATAGACCTGTATCATTGACAAGTGTAATAGTGAAAGTATTGGAAAAACTAATAAAAACTAAATGGGTAGAACACCTAGAGAGAAATGATATAATATCAGACAGACAGTATGGTTTTCGATCTGGAAGATCCTGTGTATCGAATTTACTCAGTTTCTATGATCGAGCCACAGAGATATTACAGGAAAGAGATGGTTGGGTTGACTGCATCTATCTGGACCTAAAAAAGGCTTTCGACAGAGTTCCACATAAGAGGTTGTTCTGGAAACTGGAAAATATTGGAGGGGTGACAGGTAAGCTTCTATCATGGATGAAAAATTTTCTGACATAGAAAAATGAGGGCAGTAATCAGAGGCAATGTATCGGAATGGAGAAATGTCACAAGTGGAGTACCACAGGGTTCAGTTCTTGCACCAGTGATGTTTATTGTGTACATAAATGATCTACCAGTTGGTATACAGAATTATATGAACATGTTTGCTGATGATGCTAAGATAATAGGAAGGATAAGAAATTTAGATGATTGTCATGCCCTTCAAGAAGACCTGGACAAAATAAGTAGATGGAGCACCACTTGGCAAATGGAATTTAATGTTAATAAATGTCATGTTATGGAATGTGGAATAGGAGAACATAGACCCCACACAACCTATATATTGTGAGAAATCTTTAAAGAATGCTGATAAAGAAAGAGATCTAGGGGTGGTTCTAGATAGAAAACTATCACCTGAGGACCACATAAAGAATATTGTGCAAGGAGCCTATGCTATGCTTTCTAACTTCAGAATTGCATTTAAACACATGGATGGCGATATACTAAAGAAATTGTTCATGACTTTTGTTAGGCCAAAGTTAGAATATGCAGCTGTTGTGTGGTGCCCATATCTTAAGAAGCACATCAACAAACTGGAAAAGGTGCAAAGACATGCTACTAAGTGGCTCCCAGAAGTGAAGGGTAAGAGCTACGAGGAGAGGTTAGAAGCATTAAACATGCCAAAACTAGAAGACAGAAGAAAAAGAGGTGATATGATCACTACATACAAAATAGTAACAGGAATTGATAAAATCGACAGGGAAGATTTCCTGAGACCTGGCACTTCAAGAACAAGAGGTCATAGATTTAAAGTAGCTAAACACAGATGCCAAAGAAATATAAGAAAATTCACCTTCGCAAATAGAGTGGTAGACGGTTGGAACAAGTTAAATGAGAAGGTGGTGGAGGCCAAAACCGTCAGTAGTTTCAAAGCGTTACATGACAAAGAGTGCTGGGAAGACGGGACACCACGAGCGTAGCTCTCATCCTGTAACTACACTTAGGTAATTACACTTAGGTAATTACCTCATAACACGACAGAGGTGGGTCCCCTGAATGACTCTAGCATGGGTTGGACATGCCTACGAGTGGAACTGGAAGGGTTGAAAAGGGACAGTCACCGGTGTGCCGACGGTCTCATATTCGTATATAAATACATAAATATACTGTACCTAAATAAAGACAGGTACATAAATATCTCGTCATCCAGTGCCCGGCCGAAAGACGCCAGACTACAGAAACTCACCTGTCGAATGGAGGCACGAACGTGACATGACCCAACAGTGCCAAAAAGATCATGGGAGCACCGCCAGGTGAAGAAGCCAGAGCTGGACACGCAGGAGAGCAGGGTAGAGGCGAAGGAGGAGGCCCACACCCATGACACAGGGAAAACCTCGGCGCCCTCCCTACAGTAGTAATCCAGGACAGCCCCGAAGCGACGGGGCACATACTGAAGAAGGGAGAAAAGTGAGAGGCGAAGCACCCGAGATAAAAGGGCGCAAAACGCCAGTACTGAAACACACCGCCCAGACCAAAACAAACTCCCACGGCGCATGCGCAGGACACACTGGCCGAACTGCACAACCTGCTCTGCGGGAAGGCGCCAACTAGGACTACTGCACAAGAAAATTAGCTAAACAGAACGTAACCCCAGGGAACCGCTAATTAGAAAAAACAACCCATCACACGGGACAGGAGCCAAAAGAGTAAGCAGCGACAACATTACCGGCCAACGAAGTGAAGACAAGGAGACCAATGGGAACCCAACCGGGCCACGAGTAGCCCAACTGGGCTACAAGTAATCCAATCCGGCGACCTGGACTAGGAGCCGACAGACGTTCCAATAATACGGGAAGTAGCGAAAACCTACCTGAACCCTCGAGAACACAGAAGCAAATACCAGTCCCGAAGGCACACAAAGGAACAGTTGCACCCGAGACCAAAAGTCACGTAGAACCCCAATAACAGGGAAGCATGACGAAGATACCCTGTCCCAAAAAAGAGGGGAGCAACGGAGAAGAGCACCCACCTACAGGATGGAACCAACCGACTCAAAGGACAAGGAACCGAGCCCGGAAAGGAGCTGACGCCCAACAACTCGTAAGGCGAGCAGGAAGGAAAAACCACCCCGGGTAATCGCAAGCCCCACCCAGAGGTTAGAAAAAAAAATCCGCGGGGTCCTATGGGGCCTTAGCCCCCCCCAAGTCAGCCCCGGGAACCCACACGACAGGCCCTGGGGCCAAGCCGTTCCCCCAAAGCGCCGGCCGTACCAGAAAACCGGGGCCGAGCCGTTCCCCCAAAGCCCCAGCCGTACCAGAAAACCGGGGCAGCCACGAAAATACTAAGGAAGGGAGCCCACTGGCAGACTCTTACAACACGACTGGAGGAACAGGCTCGAATGCCCCCGTCACTACCCCGGAAGGGGAATTCCCCGAGACCGCCCGCGTCTCAAAACCATCGAACTAAAATGGAGCACCCCCGGGGCTCCCAGGGAGCAAACAAATGAGAGTGTTGCCACCACCAAAGCTCAATGCCCCTGCTGCCTGCACCCGCTTAGTCAGTATACAACTGGGTAACCGAGCCACGTGCCACAAAACTCGCAGGACTCCGGGTCGAAGGTGCCACCGACCCCAACAGGCAGCAGATGGAGGCAAAACGGAGTCACCCTGAGACAAGGGGTGAGAGCAACCCTCAAACTCGCTGGAAGCGAAGGGGACACTCCGGGGTCACATCCATCGGACCCACGCGCCCCCAGGGGTTTCCCAGAGTCCCGAGCGTTTACTATAATAGGACTCGCACTCAGGTAATCCCAGGCAGGGTACTGCTAACCGGCGCCCAAAGCTACCAAACAACTTTCTAAGAGCTGAACCCCCAGGACGTGTACACTCACGGGGACCTAGCAGGGGGAACCACCGGAATAATACTCAGAACACAAAGGACACAGGGGGCAAGAATGAAGGCAGACCCCCCACCAGGTAGATAAACAAAAATAAAAAGAAAACCCCGCAAGAGAACAGCATACCCAGGCGGAACAGAGCCGGTCGCCATATAGGTGAAAACAGGCTGTGCAGCACCCTGCACCCCACCAGTGCAAAACTGCCCCTTACCCGAAGGCGAACAAGGGAGACAGAACACCCGAGCACACAAAGGGCGGCCGAAAACCGAGCAGTAAATGGCCTAGCAGGGGCAGAACCCAAGGAACTTGTGAAAGGTGACCCCAAGCCCCAAGGGCAGTACTTACAGGGCACCTAGGGAAGGCTACCCTAGGCGCATGCAGTCCGAGTACTGAAGACTCACTCCCGGTTCACACACCACCTAGAAGACAGACATCACACTCTAGTTACAGTGCTGAAACAACTAATGGAGCCGGAGCACACAACCGGTGCCTATAGCAACAGCTGAAGAACTGATGGGTGGATAGCCGGCGAGAGGTCTGGGGCTCCTCCTTCCCCCTCCCGGGGAGGGGGGAGCTGCGTAGACAGCGGCGTGGTGACGTGTGACGTCACACTAGTTTGCTTGTTTTCTGTTGGGGAGTTCTATCCACTAGTTCGGCTTTTTTGTAGCAATTTTAACCAGAATAGGGGTTTGTTTTGGAATGCTTACCTTTCTGGATGTTTGACCCGGTCGATGGCAGACATAGAATGCTTCCAACCACACGGGGGATTCTATAGGCCATTGCTCCCCTTGCCTCTCTGAGGGGGCCAGGTTCTGGCCGTGGTCCCCGGTAGGCCCTAGAACTCCATACACATGACTGATGCCAAAGTCTGATATTAGCATATCAGCCTGGTTTAGCTCTGGGGAGCCGACGGGGCTCTTCCCAGAAAAGTGGAATAAAATTATATGAATCTACAAATTTGAGACACTGTACTTAATAAACATTGAGAAAATATATTTCAGTGAAGGAAAATCGATTCAAACCTCTAAATTTACATTCTATATGCCTTCTGCTATCTAAACATTCCCTATGCATTCTAATCTCAGTGTATCTGCAGATTTTTCTAGTGAATCCCTTTTCTTAAGTTAAGATTTTAACCAGTTCTTTCAAAATGGGTAACTCTTCATTTAGCTACCATGTACTGCACTGCCAGTAATTTCCCGTTCTCTGAATCTTTACATTTCCTGCTTGATTCACACATCAAGTCCATACTCACAATCCTATTTACTAATTATCATAGAATACTTTTAAATAAGTTTTTCCACAATTCAATCATCTATATAACAATTTGTTTACTACTTAATTTCTGTAGAATACTAGTGTACTGTTTAAATAAGCATGACAATTCCTATTTCCAACTCATCAAGTTAGTTAACTCATTCCTCATTAGGCTTTTAATCTAATATAAATACAATGTACTGTATTTCAATTAGTCAGACCTTTGCAAACTGTTTAAGCTTAGATGATGGATCTCTGGATGTTGTGATGACAATCTTGGGGTCCTCGACACCAGCCCATCTATACTCGTCATCAACATTGGTGGATCCACCAGCAGCCTCTCCACCCAGTTCCACTGCTAACTGAGGTCCAGGGTCATCCCAGTCACCACTTGCCATCAGCCCCAAAGCCTTAACTTGCAGGGCAGTGGGAATTTCTTTGCCCTCTGCAATAAATATACAATACAGTACTGTACAGGATATTCTAAAAAAGTGAAAGTACAGTATGAAAAATTACAGATACAAAAGTATTATTCTCATTTGTTTATTAAAATTAAAGTGCTGAAAGTAGTGAAACACCTATTTCTGGGTGGCCATGCATCCACCCAACCAGCCTTCTCACTACAGTATTTAGCCGCAGCACCTAAAAAACAAAACAGAACGGCATAATGGAAACTGAACACTGAAGCCGAACCAGAGTTTCACACAATTCCCCCATGCACTTTGGCTCTGTCGTCCATTAATTCTACCTCTGACAATCCTCTTTCAATACACATGAGAAATCACATTATCGTGATATATCAATGAGCAAATCCACAGGAGCCGTGATGAGCGTTCCAACCTATGCGCTGTGTGTGTGAAACCCTGGTTCAGCTTCACTGGAAGCTTCGGGGATCCTCGAGGGTGCAGTAGTACCCCAGATTGTAATGTTTTTGACCATGGCGTGGCATAGTCGACTAGAGTGTGTATCTGGGTACACCCAGCGCATGGGTTCAAACCCTCATCACAGCTCCTCTAGATTTTCTCATTGATATATCACGATAATATGATTTCTCTGAGTACTGTATGCTGTTCGATGGCTACAGATTTGAAATACTGTCTATTAATTCTGTTTTCTTCTTTGTTGATGAGTTTGATATCCATGAATTTTGGTAATGTGTAATGCCTACAATATTGTTATTAAGAATGTATTCAAACTTAGGTTTGTAAATTGTCACATCTAATTGTTCAGGTTTCTTCTACGTATAATTGGTCAGTATCACTACGAGACATTTGTAAACCCCTCCCTTGCTTCTGGTGAGGGTGCCAACTGTTGTGGATGTTTTATGCACTACAGGTACATTACTTTTAAAGTGACTTTATTGCAGGAGTTAGTGATGTTCAACATCAGTCCTGCTGAGAGAACAAGCCAGAGAACAGTTCTGTTGATATTACACATGATGGTGTTTACTCCACAATTATTAACGAGATACGTAGGGTATTTTAACGTTTAAGAATGAATGGGTATATAATGTACAGTATATTTACCTGAATTTACCTATGTACCACCATCTCTTGTAGTCTCAACAGGAACAGAAAGCCAGCAGCTTGTCAAAGCTCCACCCATTCTTCCTGAGAATTTTTCCTAAGTGGATTTTGAACAGAAGTAATGTCCTGGCATTTAAAACTTTGGCAGGTAGATGGTTCCATGTGTGTTTATAACCCAATAAGTGAAAATGCATCTCCTTTTTTATGTCCTACATTGTAGCTTGTTGACCATGAAGCCACTGAGTGCCCCATGTATGCATTGCACATGATATTTTAGGGAAGTGATCTGGATTTATATGTACTGCATTGGCGCTCTTTGAACAAGTACTAGCTACAAACCTTAAATGGTCTGATGAAGAATTAAATCACTATACCTGTTTTCATTATATTACCATGATGAGAGAGAGTAAATACGAATGACGTCACTTATGCAGTCTCCGTGGTGTAGTGGTAAGACACTCGCCTGGCGTTCCGCGAGCGCTATGTCATGGGTTCGTATCCTGGCCGGGGAGGATTTACTGGGCGCAATTCCTTAACTGTAGCCTCTGTTTAACGCAACAGTAAAATGTGTACTTGGATGAAAAAACGATTCTTCGCGGCAGGGGATCGTATTCCAGGGACCATAGGATTAAGGACTTGCCCGAAACGCTACGCGTACTAGTGGATGTACAAGAATGTAACAACTCTTGTATATATCTCAAAAAAAAAAAAAAACTTTTATATGTTGATTTTCTGAAGGCTTTGGACTTGGAATGTGTCACTGTCTCTCATCATTAGTTTTGTCTAACACAGTTGTCTCTCTAATAATATAAACTATGTACAAGATTCTGCTTCACTCAAACTACTCCTAAGAAAATTTTTATAAATTGTAAAATGTTTAACCAATGATAAGTCTGACCTCAACCTATCTTTTTCCCTTTATAAGCAGCTGAAGTCTACCATTTGCTTGGTATTCCTCTTCTCGTGCAGTAACTACAAACGTGCAATAATACAATACATTATACTAATAACTGTGAATATAGCTTACAAGATTATGATAATTTGAACACAAAATTCTAAAGAAACATTTTTAAACCTTGCAATGACGCTTTGATTTTCTCTTTCCTTTGCTGCATGGCGGCATGACGATCCTGTATACTCTTGCGGTAAAGATATTCTCGACGAAGTCTTGCATGCCGCCTAAGGCTGAATTCACTCTGTTCAAAATAAACATTAATTAATTTTTGGTATTGATATAAAGTTCAAGACAACAAATGTTGCCCACACACACTAGCCCTACCTAAGCAACAGAAGACAACAAGTCACTGTGAGGGGTGAGAACTTTAGTGGCGAGGCGTCACCAGTGGAGTCCCTCAGGGATCAATTCTTGGACCAATACTGTTCCTGATACTGTATATGTAAATGATCTCCCAGAGGGAACAGACTCGTTCCTCTTAATGTATGCTGATGATGCAAAAATTATGAGGAGGATCAAGACAGAGTACGATAGTATGAGGCCACAAGAAGACCTAAATAAACTGAAGGAGTGGTCCAACAAATGGCTACTAAAGTTCAAACCAAGCAAATGTAAGGTAATGAAACTAGGCAGAGGAAATAGGCCAGACACTGGATATCGAATGGGGGATGAAGTCCTTCACGAAACGGATAAGGAGAAAGATCTAGGAGTTGTTATCACACCAAACCTGTCTCCTGAAACCCACATCAGAAGAATAACATTGGCGGCGTATGCGAGGCTGACTAACATCAGAACTGCCTTGAGAAACCTGCGTAAGGAATCCTTCAGAACCCTGTATACCACGTATGTAAGGCCAATCCTGGAGTATGCGGCCCCAGCATGGAATAATCGCTGTTGTTGTCTGGGAATAATTATGGTATAGGAATTGGTCTCCTTCGCACATTATCAACCACTGAGTTTGCTATGACCGACATCTGAATATATTGCTCATCCCCATTGCGTTTTTTTGTTGAGACTAGAATGTAAACTTTTATTGCCAATAAAAATAATAAACATATAAAATGCATATTCTTAAACCTGTGATGAGGTGGTATATTCTTAAACAGGTGATGAGGTTAGATTAGGTTGGGGGATGGATAATCTAGCCATTTTTTTAATAACAACATTTAATATACAGTACTTCATAAATAAGTACGATGCTAAGGCCTCATTGCTCATCTTGTGACGTCACTCACAGTTGAAAAGTCAGGTGGCCGTGAGCCTATCACACATCTGTGTGTTAATGAGAGGCAATATAAAAAATCCCTTACTGGAACCACTTTTGTGACGTCATGCATCGCTAAAGCAACGGACCTTATTACTACAGAAATAATTGCTTTTTGTTTGTTTATAAATAAAAATGCATAAGTGATAGTGTAGCCTACTTTGAAAAATTATATAACATATATTTGCATGTACTTGGAGACTTCAACAGGGGTTCAGTAGTATTCTCATGTCTGGGTCTGTTTCATACAAATGGGAGATATTGGATTTTTATTTTATTTCCCATGCTCGATAAACGAGCCTTGAAGAAAGATTAACAAAGCTTAAATTACATTCTCTAGAAAAGCGAAGAATTAGGGGGTGATATGATAGTGGTGTGCAGGTGGATGATTATACATAACAAAAGAGATATTAATAGGCTATTAAAAGTATTAACACAAGACAGAACATGAAACAATGGGTATAAATTGGATAAGTTTAGATTTAGAAAAAGACCTGGGTAAATACTGATCTGGTAACAGGGTAAATACTGATCTGGTAACAGGGTTGAATGCTGACGCAAGTAGATACATGTTAGTTCATGCTCTGTGTTGCTCCCCTGTTTCATACGAATGGGTGATAGTGGATTTCATTCATTCTTATGCTCAATAAACAATCTTTGGCTGGACACTATAAATATAAAGCTTCCAGATAAGTAAGGGGACAAATAGGTCCTTCTGAATATTAATAGAGTGACTTATTGAAGTGTATAAATGGAGATGAAAGTGGATATTAACACTTTCTGCTGATGAGGACTCCGCCCGGAGTCCTGTTTCGCCTCACCGCTTCCGCATGGTGGACATAAATTTATGTCCTCTTTTAAAATATTTGTATAAAATGCAATTTTAATCCAATTTACTTTGGGTTTGTTTCAAACTGCACGCCATGAGGCTCTCTTTCTCACCACTAGGCTGCATGGTACAATAAGTTCATGAAAGGTGTGGACCACTTCGATCAAATGGTATTACCATTTTACCCGGAAAACTCACAAGTGGACCTAAAAGATAACGTTTTATTTCCTGCAAATGGCTTTGCATAATGCCTTTGTTTTGTACAAATACAACACAACTGATCAAAAAAAGCTAACATTGCTACAGTTCCACGAGGTGGCAAATTGGGCCCTATTGTGCTGGGACCCGGAAGATTTGCCTCAAACAGCAACAGTATCTCAACACTTGCGGCACACTCCAGACATAAATGATGACACAGGTCCTGCCTATGCTGACGTCATGCAAACTCCTGGACCATCTGGTGTGAGGCGGCCCTTGTTCACTTCAACACCTCAAGCTGAAGCAGCAACCGAATCAGAACCCGAGATGTCTGGCACACTGCCATTTGACGAGACGGTTTTGTCAGATGACTCTGACTCAAATGTTGAACCTCCAGCGATTCAGTTGATTCTGAAAATAGCATGAACTACAAACTGAAACGAGTATTTTGATACCAGAATGAACACTGTATCACATAAACTGCCATAAGTAAACTCGAACCTTAATAGATTATTTTTTGGGTGTAGCGTGTGTCTGTATGAGTGTCCCAAACGGGTTGCAGATGGGTGACTTTAGCCGTTTATACTGGTAATGTATTTTGTATTTTGATACCAGAATGAACACTGTATCACATAAACTGCCACAAGTAGACTCAAACCTTCATAGATTTTTTTTTGGGTGTAGTGTGTGTCTGCATGAGTGTCCCAAACGGGTTGCAGGTGGGTGACTTTAGCCGTTTATACTGGTAATGCTTCCCCCATATCATGTATTATATGCATATGTCTGTTTAGGGAATTTTATTCCGATCAATGTACAATCAAAAATAACTGTGTGCAACAAGTATAAACTTGACAAACATAACAAAAGTAAAAACATTTCGTGTGTGTTTGACGCTCACTGATATGTTCCAGCGTTGTTTTATATTTGGCGCTATTCTATCTTACGCTTCGTTGATCTTTTTATACCTACGGGCTCATAGAACATTCTATTGCGAACACATTGACACAAAAATGAATGACGTACATAGAATAATAATGTCAGGAGAGTGAAATAAGTATAAACTTTCAAAGCGCCGTATCGCACATGTGTCGTCCCGTCACCGATACCGGGTAACAATTTCACCACTTCCCCCACTCTTGCGGGTGGGCCGCAATTATTATTCTACGTTTATATTCATATCACCGTGTTGGGAATTTCATTGCGAGTCCATTGATACCAAAATTAACGCTGTAGGACAAGTGTGGAGGTGATAACAATCCAAGAGTAAAAACATTTTGTTGCTGTTGGGCGCTCACGGCGAGTCATCTTCGTAGTTATTTATTTGGTGCTGGTATCCCTATACGTTTCGTGACTTTTTTTTACTGATGTTCTTCTAGAGAATTTTATTGCGAACACGTTGGTACCAAAATGAAATACGTAGCTCGAGAACTAAGGTCAGGAGAGTAAAAAGAGTATATACATTTTTGTTTTTACGCTTACGCGGCAAAAACGCTGCGTGCACATGCCGCTTTTTTTTTTTTTACCATCCCAGGGGGCGCGAAAGTGTTAATAGGGAATAGACCTACTGCAATTCATATAATAAAGGCAGTTGATGTTTTGGTTAACATAGATTGGGAGTAAATAGGAGATTTAAAATAGATTATAGATGACGTCTTTGTACATTTGAATTGACGGAAGGCGGCCATTTAATGCACTTGCCATAAATATTGAAAAGGTGATTAAATATACCATAACAGAAAACGGACTAATTCAAGGAAAATGAAGATTGACTGACGTCAATGACCATTAACCCTTGTATTGTTAAGGGCTAATTAGCCTTTGTCACCCACAGGCCCATAACAAAAAAAATTGTTTTCTTCCTAATGTGTTAATTTGTGTTCCCTGACCACGAGAGAAAAAAAATTAATTGTACTTACCAACGACGTAATTGAGCCAACATTATGGGCGATGACGTCACAACCTACATGTTCGCTCATGCAAAGTGCGTCCCGGAGGAGTTGCGCGTGGTCTTCAAGCAGCCATAGTTGCCACAAATTTATTTTCACGTCATTATTTACAGCGTCTAGGCATATTTTATTACTAATATTATTCACTAATTGTGTTGCATATAATGTTACATCATGGTCAATGACAATAAATGTTGCATACATCGAGTATACACATGCGCACACAAATGCTTTCCATTATGCCAAAACATATGTATTCACATTGTTCATTATTATATTTAGACACATGCATGCACTATTTACAGGTTTTTGCACTATTATTGCACATTTAAAAGTCTTGAAGAGAGTGGCAGTTATTGATACATGGTTGATGGGGTTCTGGGAGTTCTTCTACTCCCCAAGCCCGGCCCGAGGCCAGGCTTGACTTGGGAGAGTTTGGTCCACTAGGCTGTTGCTTAGAGCGGCCCGCAGGCCCACATACCCAGCCCAGTTGGTCTGGCACTCCTTGGAGGAATAAATCTAGTTTCCTCTTGAAGATGTCCACGGTTGTTCCGGCAATATTTCTTATGCTTGCTGGGAGGGTGAGGACAAAAATCACGTTGAAGCAGCCGATAGCACACAAAGGGACTGCACACGCTTCACACCATGTTTGCACCAGTTTACATTTCTAATCTCCCATTTTTGTTGTTCTTCAAACTAAGCAATCACATTGGCCTATTGCACATATTCCAGCTGGTGGCAAATGTTTTAGTCTGTGTGCTTGAAAGGCCTCCATGTAAGTGAGCCTGGGTGTAGCAGCATGCTGCAACACTGGGTTCATGATGGATCGTTGTATGCCAGGAACATCTTCGCCAAACTTTGCTCATAACTGTGTCCCAAGTGTAAAAGCAAACGAACGGAAACTTGGTTTACGTCCAGTTTTCACCAGATACATATTATAGCTGTTCAGCATGCTCATGTCAACAAGATGGAAAAACACTTTTTTCGTCCACTTCAATGTTTTCTGCACACACTTAACAGTGCCCACCATCAGGTCAGATTTATCAACCAAACACATGTTGATATTATAGTAAAGAACGCAATCTGGTTTATATACTGGTTCTTGCATTACTCGGTTCACCTTGCCACTGTTCACCATTGTACCATCATGAACGGTTGTCAGCAGGTTCACTTCTCTCTTGTCTTTCCAGCTAACAGAGTACTGTATTTGATCACATTTTCTTAGCTGGCAGTCACCAACTTCAAGTTTATTGTCAAACACTGGCATTTCCCTTCTTCCTGGCTTTACTGTGCCAACCAATTCGGTTCTATTTTCATTTAAGAACCTAGCTAGCATGGGACTTATATAGTACTGGTAGTTATCCGTGTATAAAATGTGGCCCTTGTTCATCCATGGTGCTATCAGTGACTTCACCACACTGCCTGAGAAACCATGTGGGTTGATACCGGGAATGTCTACATCGCTAGCAGAATACAAAATCATGTGTAGCACGTATCCTGTTTCACAGTCACAAAGAACAAAGAATTTCAACCCAAATCTGTTTTGTTTGGAGGGAATATACTGCTTGAAAGCAACACGTCCTTTGAAAAGCACAAGGGATTCGTCAATCACCAGCTTCTGTGCTGGTACGTAAAAATCTCTGAACTTTCGAATCACTTCATTCATATAGTGCCTGACTTGCCAGAGTCTATCATCCTCTGTCCGGTCCTCATTACTTGCAAAATGAAGACACCTGAGGAGTATCTGAAACCTGTCTCGGGACATATATTTCCCGAAGAAAGGTGTTGGAATAGTCTGGTCTTTGCTCCAATAATCTGTGACAGCGTTTTTGACACAATGCTTCATCTACATACATATTGCTAAAAAACCAGTGTTGAATGTAATGAAACGCCATTTTCTGGGTGAGTCCCGGAGGCTCCCCGGAGCTATCCATGGCTGATATGGATATCCTAACTATTTTGCATCAGTCGATGTGGGTGGAGTTCTAGGCCTACCAGGGACCACGAGCCAGAACCTGGCCCCCTCAGAGAGGCACGGGAAGCAATGGCCCATAGAATGCACATGTGATTTGGAGCATTCCATATCTGCCATCGACCGGGACAAGCACCCAGAAAGGTAAGCGCCCCAAAACAAACCCCTATTCTGGTTAACAACAAAATTGACAAACGAGTGGACAGAACTCCCCCAAAAGAAAAACAAGCAAACTAGCATGACGTCACACGAGCCGCACCGCATGTCTGCGCAGCTCCCCCCTCCCCAGGAGGGGGAAGGGGAAGCCCCAGATCCCTGAGCCGGCGATCCACACCCTTAGTTCTGAGGCTGGATATCAAAAACCGCGAAAAACCGCCGACCGGAGGGTGGGGGGGATGCCGGGGAGCCTCCGGGACTCACCCAGAAAATGGCGTTTCATTACATTCAACGCTGGTTTTCTGGGGGGAGCCCCTGCGGCTCCCCGGAGCTACCTCACCAAAGACTACCAAGAAAAACCAAGGGCACTTACCCGGGAGGCGCTCGGTGCTCCACCTCTCAAGACGAAGCCGAGACCATGGGCCGCAACCGCTGACTTAAGGCAACACAGGCCCGACTGGGCCCAGGAATGTTAACAAGGTAGCGTGCAGCCAGGACCCTGTTCGACCGCCAAAATCCCCGCGCCCGAATGTCAGCCCAAGACGGCAGCAAGAGCAGCGAACTTACGAACGTCATGGGCACGGGGATAGACCGCAGGCTGGCTGGACTTAATGATCCTGCGGACGACCTGAGAGACCCGAACCCGCGAACAGGGAAGAAGGGAAATCGGATCATCCCAAAGCGCGTCCCCGGACACTGAAGCCGTGGCGCGCAGATAACGGCGGAGGGCCGCAACCGGACACAACACATGGTGAACCCCCGGCCTGACAAACCACGCATCAACAACCCAAGGATCCCTCCGGAAAGCAGCAGTCTCATTCTTTGCCAGAAAAGAGGGAGACGGCTGCAAACGAACAAACCGAAGACCATGACCAAAGGAGCAAAAACCCCTGCGCCGGCGAAGAGCATGAAGCTCCGCCACACGACCCCCAGAGGCTAATGCCAACAGAAAAAGAGCCTTAGCAAAGCAATCTTGAACCGAAGGGGCCACCACAAAACGAGGAGTGGAAAGATAGAAGAGCACTCTGTCGAAGGACCAGGACGGCTCAGGTGGCGCACGAGCAGGCCGGAGGTGAAACAACGCCCGAGACAGCTTGCGAAACGGAGCAGAAGTAACATCAATACCGAAAGCAAGCTGCAGCGGCTCCGCCAGCGCCGCACGATACGAGGCGACAGTATTAGGCATCAAATGACGGTCCTGAAACAACCAAGAGAGAAAGGACAACACCACCCAAACCAAAAGCGAGGAGCAACGACGAAGGGTCAAAAAGAATCTGAAGGACCGCCAGGAAACTTCATACTGCCGCCGAGAGGAAACTCGCAGGTGAGAAACCAACAAGGAAGCCACCTGCTCACCATAAAGATGGTGATAAACACGAGTCAAAAACACCAAACGCGAAGACTCGCGGAGAAGAGCGAACCAGTCTCGTACCGGACTGGCCCGATCTCCTGAAAGAGGCGGAGCCGCGGAAAAACCTCCAGGTTCGGACACTGAGCAAGCAGCGCCTGAAACCATGGCTGGACCGGCCACCAAGGGTCCAAGAGGACCATGCGACCCTGGTAAGTCTCCAAGCGAGCCAAGACCCGGAGCAGCAGCCGAACCGGGGGAAAGAGGTACAGAAACCCCCACCTCGACCAGTCCTGCCGAAAGGCATTGATTCCGACGGCCTTGCAGTCGGGGAAGGGCGCCACGTAAACCGGAAGACGCCTCGACCACGCCGACGCGAAGAGATCCACCTCCGGGCGCCCGAATGTCCGGCAGAGCCAACGGAAGGAGCCGGCATCGACCGTCCATTCCGTGGACAGGGGAACGAACCTGGACAGGCCGTCCGCCAGGACGTTGGACACCCCCTGGACGTGAACTGCCAGGAGAGCCAAACCCTGAGAACTCAGCAGACGAGTCACCCGAAGCGACCAGCCCCAAAGAGCCAAGGACCACATCGAACCCCCTCGGTTCAGACAATGAACTACTGGGGAGCAGTCCGAATGGAGCCAGATCGTCGATCCGCGGGCGACCCGAATCCTCCGAAGCGCAAACCATACCGCCGCAAACTCCCACACCATGCTGTGGACCCGACGGAAGGACGGACTCCACCGTCCCTGGCCGGCCTGGTGAGCACTGGTCACAAAACCCCAGCCCAGAGACGACGCGTCCGTGTACACATCGAGCGAGGGCTCGGGTAAGCGCCACTGAACCCCGAAAAACCTGAAGAGGAAGCCGGCGACGCAGCAGCCGACACAAAGCCCCCGGGGGTCGAACCCAGCGATCGCGAGAGAGGCGGAAGGGACGTCCCCGAAGGAACCAGAACAGCCGACGAAGCCAAACCCGACCCGGCGGGTAGACCAACATCGCGAAGTTCAGGCTGCCGCACAAACTCTCGAGCAACCGCCGGGTGACCCGAGAGCCCCCCAGAAACAGACCCAGGCGAGACCGCAGCCGAAGGAGAGACTCCGGAGGAAGAGACAAGGAAGCGGTCCGAGAGTCCCCCACAAGACCCAGCCAGGACCGAACCTGGGAGGGCACCAGATGGGACTTCCGCCAGTTCACCAGGAACCCGAACCCGGCGAGCTGGGAAAGCACCAAATCCCTGGCAAGCAGACACGCGGACCAACTGGGAGCCCAAATCAGCCAGTCGTCGAGGTAAGACCTGGTTGATACCTGGTTGATGGGGTTCTGGGAGTTCTTCTACTCCCCAAGCCCGGCCCGAGGCCAGGCTTGACTTGTGAGAGTTTGGTCCACTAGGCTGTTGCTTGGAGCGGCCCGCAGGCCCACATACCCACCACAGCCCGGTTGGTCCGGCACTCCTTGGAGGAATAAATCTAGTTTCCTCTTGAAAATGTCCACGGTTGTTCCGGCAATATTTCTTATGCTTGCTGGGAGGACGTTGAACAACCGCGGACCTCTGATGTTTATACAGTGTTCTCTGATTGTGCCTATGGCACCTCTGCTCTTCACTGGTTCTATTCTACATTTTCTTCCATATCGTTCACTCCAGTACGTTGTTATTTTACTGTGTAGATTTGGTACTTGGCCCTCCAGTATCTTCCAGGTGTATATTATTTGATATCTCTCTCGTCTTCTTTCTAGTGA